AACTTCTCCAAGCATTTGATCTTGTTGATGAGAAACTCTTCTTGGCCGTGAATTTTTTCTTCTTGCTCTTGATTTTCTCTATGAGCTTGAGCACCATCAACTTATCTTTCTTGCTTAGACGTGCCAAGAGTTGATTGAACTCATCATCATCACTTTCATCTTCACTCTCACTCTCACTCTCACTTTCACTTTCACTCTCACTCTCACTCTCACTTGCCACACTCTTCTCTTTCTTTGCCATGAGACCCACATGAGAAGTAGCATAAAGAGTTGAGCTTCTTGGTGAGGTGGATTCATCATTTGGCCTCCACCAATCATAAGCTTCTTCTTCCTTCAAAATGTTAGTCTCATAAGAACTAAAGGAAGTAGAAGTACCACATGTAAAAGCATTGTTCTCACCAACCATTTTATTACCGTTCACATATGTTGGTGAGAGAGTGGATGTGGCATGATCAATTTGACCATTTGAGAGAATCACTTGAGGCTCATCATTTGTTGGTGAAGTTGAGCACTCCTCAAGTGGTTCCTCCAATGAGAGCAACTTCTCATCACATTTGGACTTGTCATATATTTCCTTAAGCATGGTCCAAATGATATGAGCATCCTCAAGCGGTTCACCATCTCCAAATATGACAGCATCAAAAGCATCTTCACTCAAAGCACTAAATAAGACATTAGTAGCTTGAGCATTGTGTTGTAAGCATTTCACTTCCTCTTTAGATAAGATGGCCAAATCATCACTAGGAGGTGAAATGCTCACAATACAATCCGCTTGATATGAGGACCCATGTCCCTAAAAATAGCAAGCACACTAGCGGACCAAGATGCATAATTTGAACCATCTAAAAGTAGAAGTTCTAGAGATACCTCCTCACTTGTTGACATCATCTCTCAAGGCGGTTAACCCCAAAATTGAGAGCCTAGCTCCGATACCAATTGAAAGGACCTTGATGTCGCCTAGAAGAGGGGTGAATATGCCTATTTAAAACAAACTCACAGTGGAAGTTAAATTCTAAGTGCGACACTACTGCTCCCAAGGTGCAGCACTGCTGCGCCTGCAGACAAGCTCGAACTATAATTTAAAAACTGCCCAAAGAAAAGTAGATCGAGCAAATTACTGATGTTCCTAGGGTAGTGTAGAGCCTATTCCACCACCTGGATGTTGGCGAAAGTGCACGAGCAAGTAGATCGGGACCAAACCCTAGAATCACCACAAATACAAATATAACAATGCAAATCACAATAACACAAGTGAGACACCGATTTATCCCATGGTTCAGCTCGTCACTAAGGCTTGCCTATGTCCACATTGTTGTGGTAGCCACAAAGGCTTTAGTCTCTTTTAACCTTATCCTCGTTCTCAAGTCAAGAGAATGAACTCTTGAGATGAGGAGTGATTTCACTAGATGATTGGGGTGATTACAAACCTTCCAGGGCTGCCACACAAGTTGGCAAGCTCCACGGCCGATGCTCTAATTGGCTAGGAGCAAGCTCTAAGAGTAACAAACACAATCCACTGACTTGAACATGAACCAAGTGCTCTAGGAGATGAAGAACAGTTGGAGCTGCTCTCTAATGCAGTTTAGAGGCTCAAACTCTCATGGATTTGTAAGGGAAGCAAAGGAGAAGCTTGAGGGGCTCCAATGGTGAGTGGGGAAGAGAGAGCTACTCTGGTCGCACTTGGGAAGGGAATGGTCGATTTAAAAACTAGGTTACCATTGTGAGGAAGAAGAGAAGGTATAAATACCCCCTGCTCCCAACGGTCAGTTAAGTCACGGTAGTGCCTCAGTGCGGCAGTGCCTTACCTAAACTGTGGTAGTGCCTCAGCACGGCAGTGACTCGCCTCAGCGCGGCAATGCCTCACCTGCCAGGCAGCACAAAAGATAGGATTGCAAAGCTTGCTGTCTTGGCTAAGGCTTTAAGGATATTTGGTGGGTAAATGAGCACTTGGTTGCACATTAAAGCTTGTGCATTGTATCTCCCTTTATAGTACTGTTTTTCCTAAACTCAAATTCAAAATATCAAAGAATTTAAACACCTTTGAATTGGTCACCGCATCCTTTTATAACTGGGGGCTCCGCCATCAAATGTATTGTCATCATTCCCATTATACCTTGAGCATGTGACTTAAACCATTTCAACACATGTGAGCTCAATCCATGGCTTCAAATCACTTCCACTAATGATTTGATCCTCAACACAATATGACTCCTCATAGCTCGATTAGTTCATCGATTCAATGCAAGTACTCTCTTCTTCACATTAGCCATGGTACCTCGGTCCTCAAGCCATCGCTTGCCCTTCACCTCCGCCTACTACCTCGAAGACCTTTCCTTGCTATCTTCACCCTACCGAGCCATAGTCAAGTCATATCATATTAAGCATCCATTGAAAAACTATTTCTTCAATGTTGTGATCCTTGCTTGAATATCTTCTAGATATGAATACTGAGATCAATCAAGCTTCAGTTAGACTCACATAGAGACATATATGGATCAACATCAATGTGGCCAAGCCAATTCACGATTCCATATATCCTCTTCATTTTGGCTTGACATTCCTAACACTCACTTCTATCTCTATCTTCGTACTTCTAGCTTGATCATATTAATGCAAAATGATTTTCCAAATCTTTATCCATACAAGCAAACCAAGGTAGAGAACATCTTATATCCATTATGTATTGTCTCCTTTGTCATTTCACATTTGCTTGACATTTCCTCACTTATACACTCTTGATTCATTCTTCAATTCTTGATCAAAGCTAGTCCACTATCCAACTCTTCTTGTTCATGCAAAGCAAGCCATTATAGAGACCAATCCAAAATCATCAACTCATGTCTCATTTGTCATTTACTAAATATGCTTGCTTTCACATGATGCTATGATATCCCACAACATAAAAGTCATTTCATCAACTCCATTTGCATTGTTGTCTTTTTCTTGAACTATATTGTTTACATGATCTTCCAACACAACAATACATAATTTTGGCCTTGATTTGAAGGATATATGGAATATCATCAAGTTTGCCTTCTTGTTGAACCTATATACACTTTTTATTCCCCAATCCACGAGTGTATGCAATAAACTCAATTTACTACTCAACACTTAGCAAACTTGTTAGACCTTTTATGGTGTTATTCAATTCAACAAAACCCACTAAAGGGCTAGATGCACTTACAACTACCCGTCTCTTCCACTATGAGAAATAATATAAAGTAACACCTTTAATTTATAGCTTTTAGAGGAGTGGGACACTAGGTGTGATACAACACTTTGGTATTATTGAGAAAACATATTAAAAATTTCAACTAAGATTATTTTATAATAATATATATTTGATAATTGATCGAATGGATAGCGTAGAGTACCTATATGAGAAAAGCATGCAAATTAATATAAGTAACTTTTTAACTAGCTGCAGTTGTATAAACATAAACATCAACTGCTTATGTCTACTGAAATTCTATTATGTGTGGTAACACTTGTTGATGGACTAGCTTGTATTTCCTCCGTTCCAAATTATAGGGCGTTTGGATTTTCTAGGTATGTATAGCTTTTACTACGATTTAGACATAGCGTATATCTAGGTGAATAGCAATGCAAAAGTTGTATAACTAAAAAGCCAATACAATTCGTAATTTGTAGTAGACGGAGTAAATTAATTAAAATATATCGTAGCTACATAAAAATTACAAAGTGTCTATGTGAGTATTGTATTATTAGAATATATATATATATATGAACAAATATATAAGAGGAGAGCGCAAAAGTAGGCAATTTGCAATACTTGTGGGCCTAATTAAATTTGATTATCTGTGAACTTGTCTTTTGGATTTGAATCTAGACTATCTAGTAAAGTAACGCATGGTTGATGATCGATGGTCTATAGCTAGCCAGTAGGTTCCAATTGGAAAGCGAGATTAGTTTTGGATCCCCGTCATCAGTTGTTACTTTTTATCGAGAACGTGTTGTTGACACGTGTTTCATTAAGAGGGCACGTCAGTTGTTACTTGGTCACTGGCTTTTCAAGCACTCACTCTGCTAACAAAACAAAACACACCTGTCCGATTTGAAATAGAAGATAGTGGCAACGGGGGCGCGTGTGGCGCGCGTGGCTCCAGCGAGGGGAGGAGCTAGAAACAGAAGCTACTCCATCATAGCTAGTATAGCAAGAGGTCAAGAATGTCGACGCGTTCGTGCCACACGATGACGCCACGAATGACGAAATTCGCGAAAGCGATGCTGCCTAGGATCGAATGGCCTGATGATATAATGTATGTGTGGCGTTGATGGAGAGAGCTTTGAGTGCGGATAAGCTACGTACAGAGCTTTGCTCTAGCCTCTAGCTATAGCTAGCATAAGTCGTCACTTATATATCGCTTCTTGTTCATTTCTTTTTTTGTCCACAGCGCGGACGATCTGCAGTGCCACCTGTGTGTCAGCAACCTTCCTGCCCACGCTGCTGCTACAACTGAAGACGGTCCGCTGCCCAGCGAAGATGGCAAGCCAGGAGGGAGGCCCAAGGAGCATCGGCCCAAGAAGCCAAACCCGAGATACATTGGTGGAGAATGGGCCAGCTGAAGGCGCCTGCGTGCGATACAAGGGGCGCTGCCTCTGTAATGTTTAAAGGGAGTCGAGAGAGATGGAGAGAGCAGCTTTTGTCAAAACGGAATTCTATTCCCTAAACTAAGATTCATCTGCCGTATCCCACTGTTCTTGTTCCTCGAGCATTTCTTCTTCTCCAAACCTTCCCAGATCCCCTTCCCGAGCTTCTATCTCTTACATTCCGTTCGTGCGTCCTCAATCCATCGGTTGAATCATCCAACTGAGCCGGTCGGTCTAACCCGTTGCAATCCGTGAGCTGTAGTTTTGCTTTGGGATTCCGTAATTCCCCTCACGGATAGTTCGATTTGTGGCGGATTGCCATTCTAGATCGCTCCGATTCCACCCTTTCCCACGACCACTACACCCGCTTGCAGCGACATCGCGGCGCCATGAATCCCGAATCCAAGCTGCTCCTCGAGAAGCTTGACAAGCGATTCGCCGCCACCGACAAGCGCTTCGACGGGATAGAGCGTCAGATCCAGTCCAACCACGACTCCGCCTCTACCCGGATCCTGGCCTTGGAGCAGGCCACCAAGGTCTTCGACGAGTGGCGCCCCAGCATCGAAGGCGTCGTCTATGATCTGAAGATTGAGGTTGGCAAGCTCTCTACGATGAAGATGGAGGTCGGCAAAATCACCAAGTACTAGGAACGATCGATGGTCGACGCCACCACACCTGCTCCGAGCGTCTTCGTGTCCGCTCCGGCCTCGCCAGTTGCCACCCTCTCCGACCACAAGTCCTCCGCGCCAAGTGAAACCAAGCCCATACTTGGCGGGGACTTCCAGGCTGCCCCGCGACCATCTGCAGGATTCGCAGCCGATCGGCTCGATGGGCACCGCGTCGAATTTCGGAACCGGGATGGTGAATTCGGAGTGGTTACCACTGATTCCACATCCCGGCAAGGGTACGTCGCCTTGCCGTCCACCCTCTCCCCTTCCATTATCATGTCCACCGCCGCGTCCACCACCACCACACCCGGGTAGTCACTGGGAATCGAGTCATCAAGGGGGCACTAGGGGTGGCCATACCAACAAGCTCCCCAAGTTTGATTTTCCCAAATTCGATGGGGAACATCCTAAGTTATGGTTGAAATAGGTTGTGCATTACTTTGAGCTTTACCGTGTCGAGTCTGCTGTCTGGGTCCAAGTGGCTACCGTGCATTTCAATGGCGCCGCAAAACGTTGGCTCTCTTCTATTGAGGATTAGTTAGAGTCTGTCTCTTGGCCTGATTTCTACGCTTAGCTTCTCTCTCACGGTTCGCCCGAGATGAACACGAGCTGTTGCTTCGCCGCTTGTTTCAAATTCGTCAATCCGGGCCTGTCAATGAGTATATTGATCAGTTTGTGGCACTAGTAGATCAGCTGAAAGCATATGCCAAGCACCCTGACCCACTCTACTATACACAACGCATTTTATCGATGGCCTGCGCGATGACATTAAAGCAGTTGTTCTTGTTCAGCGTCCTTCTTCCTTGGATACTATTTGTGTTCTTGCCCAATTGCAGGAAGAAGCGTTGGGGGCTGCTAAAAGGCCGTATCGGCGCATGGATGCGCTACCGGCCAACAAGCCGGCGTGGAATACCGACCAACCTCTGCCTCCACCGCCACCCAAGCTGGCTATTGCTGATGTTCCACGCCTGACTGACACACCACGGCTGCTTCGGCTGAAGAAAAGTTTAGAGCCATGCGTGCCTCTCGTCGTGCACGGGGACTCTGCATCAGGTGCGGTGCTAAATGGAGCCATGACCACAAGTGCTCGGAGGTGGTGCAGTTGCATCTTGTGCAAGAATTACTTGATATGTTTCCTGAGACTGATGATGCTGATGTTTCGGGTCCGAGCTCGCCAACAGCCTCTCAGATCATGATGCATCTGTCTGTGGCAGTGGTGTCTAGTACTACAGCCCCCAAGACCCTCTGTTTGTCTGGTTTGATTCAAGAGATTTCTATATCAATTTTAGTCGACTTTGGAAACTCACATACTTTTCTCAGCCAGCAGTTAGCTTAGTCTTTGTCTAGTGTTTAGGATCTTAGTCTAGCTATTCAAGTGCAAGTGTCCAATGGAGCTGTTCTTTAGTGTTCTTCTCATATTCCTAATGCATCTTGGTTAGTTCAGGGTCACACCTTCACAACTGATCTCAAGCTCTTACCACTATCATCATTTGATATGATCCTAGGTCTTGATTGGGTGGCAAGCTTCAGCCCGATGCAGGTTCACTGGGCACAAAAACTTTGAGATCAGGGGTCTACTGCTTTGCTAGTAGGTGATACTCCAAGTTTGCCTGTGGGTTTGGTGGTTCAATTATGCTTGGTACAAGAGGAGTCATAGCAGCATTTTGTGTTCCTAACAATCCTGAATTGCAAGCATTGTTGGCAGAATTTGCTCATCTCTTCCAACCAGCTACTGGTTTGCCCCCACAGAGACTTTGTGATCACTCTATTCCTCTTATTCCGGGTGGTCAACCTGTCTTCGTTAGGCCTTACCACTATGCCCCTCTATTGAAATCTGAAATCAAGCGGCAAGTCAATGAGATGTTGCAACAAGGGATCATCTAGAAGAGTTCTAGTGCCTTTGCCTCGCTTGTTCTGCTGGTTAAGAAGAAGCATCAAAGCTGGCGTTTCTGTGTTGATTACCCTCAGTTGAATGCCATCACTATGAAGAGCAAGTATCATGTTCCCATCATTGAAGAGCTACTAGATGAGCTGGCTGGGGCCGCGTATTTCACTAGCCTTGACTTACAAGCGGGGTTCCATCAAATCCATATGAAGGAGGGCGAGGAATTCAAAACGGCGTTCCAAACGCATTTTAGCCAATTTGAGTTTCGTGTGATGTCTTTTGGTCTGACGGGTGCACCGGGAACATTCCAGGATGCAATGAATACTACACTGGCTCCTTATCTGCGCAAGTTTGTCTTAGTCTTTTTGATGACATCCTCATATATAGTCCTACTTTGGAGCCAGCACTTACAACATCTTCGTTTGGTGTTCGAACTCTTGGCTAAGGATAAGTGGACACTCAAACTCAGCAAATGCTCTTTTGCGTAGACACAAATATCATACCTAGGGCATATTATTAGTGCTGCAGGTGTTGGCACCAACCCTACTAAGCTTGACACTATTGCTCAGTTGCCATCACCATCTTCCGTCAAGGAACTTCGCTCATTCTTGGGCTGGCGGGCTACTACCGCCTATTCGTGCGACATTTTGGTATCATCTCTAAGGCCCTGATAGGTCTCTTGCGGAAGCACACATTATACATTTGGACTCCTGATCATGAGAAGGCTTTCCAAGCACTCAAGTCTACTCTATGTCACTCCCCAGTCTTGGTGTTACCCAATTTTGCCAAACCATTCACCATCAAGACCGACGCATCAGAGTCAGGGGTTGGGGTTGTACTGATGCAAGACGGTCACCCGCTGGCTTTCTTTAGCAAGGCATTGGGACCTAAAACCCGTGGTCTATCCACGTATGAAAAAGAGTACATGGTCACTTCGGTATACCTGTTACTTACATGCGCCTTAAGCAATGTTTCACTTGGAAGGGCATGAAGTCCGCCATGAAGGCCTTTGTGCAGGCTTGCTCTGTATGTCGGTAGTCCAAATACGACCTCAACAAGTCCCTAGGTCTATTGAAGCCTCTACCGGTTCCGGACTCTGCTTGGCAGGTGATCTCTCTTAATTTCATTGAAGGTCTTCCTCTATCCTAGTTTTACAATTGTGTTCTGGTGGTAGTTGATCTACTGACTAAGTATGGGCACTTCATTCTGCTCTATCATCTGTTCACAGCGCCCAGCGTTGCCACATCCTTCTTTCACACTGTGTACCGCTTGCATGGGCTTCTGGGTGTTGTCATCTCTGACCGTGACCGCATTTTTACCAGTCACTTTTGGTCCGAGCTCTTCAAACTCGCTGATGTGATGTTATGTCGTAGTATGGCCTATCATCCCTAGTCAGATGGCCAGATAGAGTGTCTCAACCAATGCTTAGAGACCAACCTCCGTTGTTTTGTCCATGCTTGCCCCCGCAATTGGAGTCCTTGGCTCTCTTCGGCAGAGTTCTGGTATAATACCTGTGTACACTTAGTGATTGCATGGACACCTTTTGAAGCTTTTATGGCTATCCTCCTCGAATGTTGGCAATGAACCTTGTAGCCTCTACCAACTCTGAGGTTGTAGCTTGGACGTCTGACAGGAAATGGATAGATCAGCTCCTTCAACAGCACCTATATCGCGCCAAGAACCATATGAAGAAACAAGCTGATCAACGCAGATCTGAGCATAGCTTCACAGTGGGTGACCTTGTGTTCTTAAAACTCCAGCCGTATGTGCAGAGCTCCTTGGCACCAAGGTCCCATCAAAAGCTTGCATTCCGCTACTTCGGACCCTTTCATGTCGTTGCTCGGATTGGTACGGTGGCCTACCGCCTGGAGCTACCGCCGCATTCTGCCATTCACCTAGTTTTTCACGTGTCCTAACTGAAGAAGGCCAAGGTGATGCTCATCAGGTAATGCCTACTCTACCATCTGATTTTGCTCTGAACTTTGGCTCCTGAGCAGATCCTATAATCCCGCTCGGTGGTTCACGGTGCTGACAAGATTCAACAAGTACTAGTGAAGTGGAACAACCTTCCTGCTGCATTGGTGACATGGGAGGACTATGAAGCTTTGCGACAACAATTTCGATGCTCCACTGCTTGGGGTCAAGCAGTGTCTCAAGGAAGGGGGAGTGTCAGCAACCTTCCTGCCCAGGCTGCTGCTACAACTAAAGATGGTCCGCTGCCCAGCGAAGAAGGCAAGCTAGGAGGGAGGCCCAAGGGGCATCGGCCTAGGAAGCCAAACCTGAGATACATTGGTGGAGAATGGGCAAGCTGAAGGCGCCTGTGTGTGATACAAGGGGCGCTGCCTCTGTAATGTTTAAAGGGAGTCGAGAGAGATGGAGAGAGCAGCTTTTGTCAAAACAGAATTCTATTCCCTAAACTAAGATTCATCTGTCATATCCCACTGTTCTTCTTCCTCAAGCATTTCTTCTTCTCCAAACCTTCCCAGATCCCCTTCCCCAGCTTCTATCGATTACACTGTGATGTGCTAACGTGTCCATACGACTTGGTTTGGCTGCGTGTGCATCAGTGCGTGTGACTATGTGTGATGCTGATGCATGCATGAGATCGATCGATGATCATATGCACACAATCCACGGTAGAGAGACCGATCGATCGAAGGAGTTGTTTGTTGGAACTAGGGTTTAGGAGCAAGTGAATAGGAGTGGGAGAGAGAGCCCTCTTGCCTTTGTGCCATTGTAACTTATATAGACAATGGTTATTTATAAGTGTTCCTTAATAGGGTTGGATTTTACACTTATATAGCGTTGAGCAAAAGACTTTGCCCTCTAGAGTGGCCGGTCCTCTAGTATGCTTCCCTAGCACCTCTTGGCTGGCGCTCATGACCGAATCTTCAGTCATGTTTGATGTAGTCGATGCAGTTGTGGTAGCTGAAATAGTGAAGGTAGATGTTTCAGTCGAAGTGATATATGTAGGTGAAGTAGATCTTGATGCCGAAGCTACTGACGAAGCCCCTAGAGCCGAGCTTGGTGTGATGAAGGCAAGTCGTTGTAGGCATTGATGCCAAATGTGTCGACAAGGCTCTCAAGCCATTGT